GACCGGGAGGAAGGAAGCAAGAGCGGCGGGCACCCGGGAAGCTGCTCTGTGGTAAGACCGCCCCTTCAACTCGGCCGCAGAAAGACGCGGCGCGCCTGAGGCGCCCCCGATCCCCCAGAGAAAGCGAGCTTGGGTTACCCGTCTCCCGCTGGAGAGCTGACTGCGCTGGAGCTATCTCCGGGGGGGGGGACAACGAGAGGTGGCGGCGGGCGAATTCCGTGCCGTGCAGCGGCGGCAATCGACAAGCGCGAGAAGCCTAAGCTGTGCTGCCTCAAAATCCAGCCGCGTCCGGTTGCCATAGAGACCGTCTTCGGGAGGCGGCTTTGCAAGCGACAGGCCGAAACCGCCCCGCCCCCAGTCCCCAGTATCCCAAGTCGAAACGTTCCGCCGGTGTCCGTACACACCCTGCCTCGAGCCGCTCTCTTTCCCCGCTTCCTTTTGGCCCTGTGGACGAGGGGCGTGGCGAACGGGCCAAATGGGAAAGGGCGCACGTGATTTTCTTCTTAAATCTAATGGTTTGCGCCAGTAAGGCAGAGTGGTGAGTACAAGGGGGTGGTAAGGTGCTGGTCCGGTGGATGAAGTGGAACTGTGCATACTTAATACTGTGGTCTTCTGCATCATTCCTCAGACATTTCTCATTTGTGATTACTACCTACACTATGCCTATCCCCAACCATGGAACATATATGCCCTTTCAGCATCTTCTTCTGCAGTGCACCAAGTCCCCAAACCAAGGATGTTGCTTTTGACTCATCCCAAGCCACTGAGAAACACAAACTTACCGGCCTTTCCCCGTGGCTGAGTTGAAAGGCTAGATTCACCAGTCCTTGAATTGGCAGAAATTGTGTGCTTCCCCATTGCTGATGCCTACCTCTTGCCTCTGTTCTCAGTCACTGACTTACAGTAATCGGTAACAAAGTCTAACAGATCTTACATATCGTGAGGCTGCCTTTGGTTGGAATAAGGGGAAAAACACTACTCCAGGGTTTCTCAACCTCAGCAACTTTATGTGTACTTCAACTCCCAGAATTCCCCAGTCACCAGTTCTGGGAGTTGAAGTCCACACATCTTAAAGTTGTTGAGGCTGAGAAATACTGCACTACCCTAACACTGATATAGCTAAGCAGGAGTTAAGCCTCACTCATGGACAGGGTTGAGATGAAGGTAATGTCACTGGGGCATGGCAGAAAAGCTAGGGGAAAAACACCAGCCATGGCACTGCAACAGGAATACTCACAGCACATTACAGCCTGCTGGCCTGCTTAGGCATCCCTACTTTTCTGGACACAGTGCAGCCATATGCCATGGCCCACTTAAACCAACCCTGCACAAATTACTACAGTGGGCTACATGGCAGCTCTTTTTCAAACATCAAAGGCCCTTTCAAGCAAAGGCTTGGAATTATGGTAATTGCATTTATATTTATCCCCAGTATCTAAAGAGAAACTAATAGAGGATTGATTATCCTGCTAACCCCCACAATGTCATCGCATTTCAGACTGTAGGCTGAAAAGTGTGGAACAATCATTTTCTGGTCTTTTGCTTGTCAAGCTTACAAGAAATTTGAATGAAAAGTAGCTGACAACTAAGGTTATACGTGAGAAAATGCTTTGTAAGTAGAACTGTTCAGTGATATCATTTTCCCACCTCATTGCAGTGAGAAGTCATGTAGTCCAATAGAACTGGAAGGGGGGGGGGTCTTTATAAATGGTTCTGTACTTTGTATAGCAAATGCATCTTTACAGCAATTTAAGAGAATACTATCAAACCCAAGCTCTCCTTCCCAGAATGTGTTAATCAACTGCAGTTGAACTTGTAGGAGAAATACCTCCAATAATGGCTTCCTAATTTATGGGAGAAAGGTAACTGTTCTCATTAGTGACTTGAAAATCTCACAAAAGCCAGAGATATGACCGATAAATATTTCAAATGCCATTCATAGGATAAGATGCATTTTTCCAACGTGGTGCTTTCCAGCTGTGTTGGGCTTAAACGTACGACAATTTCCATTCAGTAAAAACTAGGTTGAATGCTTCGGGGTCCAGTTTGGGGAAAGTTGCGCTATGAAGCTACACCAATATGCCCGACACAGCGCTATTTGATGCTATTCTATGTTTTAAACAAAAAAAAAAAAAAAAGAACGCACGCAGTTGGGATCTCACATTTTCTTCTTTTGCGTTAGCCGAAATGATCGAGCCCCGCCAAAGGCGCTTTCCCTATCGCTTGAGCCCGCGAACTGAAAGCCGGAGCTCTACTCCTATACTGTAATACGCTTTTAGCTCCATGGAGAAGGATGGCGCCTTGCATTCTGGGAATTGAAGTCCTTCGTTTGTTTCCTCTGAAAAGCAATGAACAGATAGTATCTCCTACAAACTACTGTTCCCACAACCGCTTGCAAACGTAAATGGCGTGGCGAGTGGCAAGTATCTGTGACTGAAAAGGTCGTGGCCGCCTTCGGTTTGTTCGGACTCCTTCAACAAGTGAAAGGTACAAAGGAAAACACGGCAATGTTCCGTTCAACGGCTGCGGGAACTTTGCACCGAGAGTAAACTGCGGGGCGATGCCTCCGGCTGCTTGCAGAGGACGCAAGAGGGCTGGAATAATTCCTGGTCTTTCCTTGGGGGCAAAAGCAGCTAGTAAATCATAATGCTTTCCGCTTTTATGCGAGGAATCTGCTGTAGTGACCAGATACTGAGGTCTCCGGTGAAGCAGGCGCTTGCACGACATAGGAAGGCCTTTCTAAGCACTTGGGCACGCTCCAGAGTAGGGCAAGGGCTGAGCCATGACCATGTCTTGAGCCCTGAGATAGGCTACGAGGGCATAAGGCGAAGCTTTTGGGTCCCGGTGAGTCCCCTGAGAGCCGAAAAATCCGAAAACAAGGGCTCGCAAGTGCCTGTGCAAAGAAGTCAAAAGGGAGACGCTTCTCTGTCAGCTGCTCAGAAAGGTAAGGAGGGAGACACTGCATTCACTGATTAAAACGCTTAGGGCAGTAAAACCGGTTCCCTAAAATGCTGCAGTTCTCCATGTTTCCGCTGTTATGAGAGGAATTTGTTACTCTGCGTGGAGAAAAATGTGGCCCACTGAATGTTTTAAAAGATAGGATCTAGAGTCCCTTGCTATGGACGGTGCTCTTTGGGCCTGGACAGCTTCAACATCTGAAGGGAAAAAAGGTGCCCGCTCCCTTGAAGAAACTCTCTTGCCTAATACTGTCTTAAAATTCTCAGCCTACAGGGCCAAATATGAGAATTACATGAGTGAACCTTCAGCAGTTCTGGAGGGCACTTGGTTGTAGCAAAATGTAGAAGAGGAACAGGGACCCCTTAGCCAGCCAGGCTTTGCAGAAGTACAAATCTTAATATCCTTCATCTTGCTGGCAGTTATAGTTCAGCAATTATGCTGGCTGGAACTAAGGTAAGCAACATCTCAAGGGCCAAAGGTGAAATATCTTGGCAGCCATAAGGCCTTTCTCCACTATTGAGTTGAAACATTTGGCAGAAAGCATAAAATTTACTGTCCCCACTACCTGTCTCTGTTCTATTTCAAGTCACCTTCGGCACCTGATTTACTTTCAGGGCAACAGGAAGCAGCCTTTGAGGTTGCTTTTGGATGGTGTCAGAATTAGGAGAGACACAGTAGTTTAGCCTAGTACAAAGGACAGTTTAAGGTCGATTCATTCTAAGGCTAGAGACAAGCTCTTACCTGTGCTCAGCTGCATTCGTTCTTGGTCATTCCCCAATGGCACTTCTGGTGTTTCATCTCACAGAGCTCCTCTGAAAAGTGAGGAATATTCCAGGTTCAGTGCATAATGAGAGGTCGCATTGGAGCAGTCCAGTCCAAGGCTATTGTCACATACCCATTCCAACCCAAGGCTAAGGCCTCAGTCAAATTGCCCACCAGATCCTCAGGAAAAAACCAAGTTCCATTGGTGTTTGGGGCGGACTGCTAATAGGTCTTGTCTCCCTGGCAGGGATAGGGCAACACCAGCAAGCTGGAAAGCAATCAGACCATGAGGACTGGTGGTAATGTCCTCCACTACCAGAACATGTTACAATTGCCCCGAGACAAAAAACAGATCTAATGTGTGACTCCCAGTGTGTGTTGAGTCCTTCATGGCTTGGGTGAAGTCTGTGGTGGCCCTGATAGCCATGAGTTCCTGACTTGCCCCAGACTTCATTTCATCTGGGACAGGTTGAAGTCACCAAGAACTGTTAGCCTTGGCAGTTCCACTGCTAACCCAGTGACAGAGTCCAGCAGTTCAGACAAGGATGTTACTGCACAGCAGGCAGGCTGGTATAGCAGCACCAAACCCAATTCCAGCCAGAGAGTCTCATATCCACTATCTGCAGAACAGAGCCTCTGATAACCATCAAGGTTTCCCAGTTAGCAATTGCCACCCAAGTTCTCCTTCCCTGGGATTGTGGCTATTGTTAGATTTGAAACCCAGATGGGAACATCCCCACCTGGGTCCACCCTGGTCTCAATAATGCATGCCAAGTCAGCTGTCTCATCCACAACCTAATCAATCTTGCATTCAGTAGCAACAACTAGAATCCAGGGCCACACAGAATCCAGTGACTTGGAATTGGGGTGAATACTGAGAAGTTGTTTCTTCCTCCTATTTAAGACAGCAGTGTTTCTTGGCATAAAGTTAACTATTATACTATGCTATGTATAATACAGTGGTATCCCTAGTTACGAACTTAATCTGTTCCGTGACTCTAGTTGCAACTCGAGTTGGTCTCAAGTCGAGGTAAAGTTTCCCATAAGGATCAATGTAAATACGGTTATTCCGTTCCGCCCGCCGAATTTGGTCGCGCCACGAG